CGAACTAAATAAGAACAAAGAGATGTTTAGAACCAACAGAAATGAATTCTAAACACATCTATAAAATATGGAAAGAGATAAATAAAAGCTGTTGTTTATCTCTCTATATTTTATAGAGATGTTTATAAGACCTTGTACGCATTACACGACGAAGAATTAATTCAAATTGAATTAAGCAACATGATTGGTGTTTCGACGAAGCAGCACCAATCATATTTTTTAATTCACTTTTAATCCGGCTAGTCTGTTTGACCCATAATTCATTTCTATTCGTCATAAACGTCTCTCTCTTTCTTCTCTTTGTTCTTATTTTGTTACATGCAAAGTTTTCTATTATTGTAATAATTTCATTTTATATCTCGATAATAAAAATTTATTCTTCGAAATATCGATATGAAATAAAATAAAACAAATTTGAAAAAAGAAACTTCTGTTTCTTTCTATTAAATTTAAATAATAATGTTATAGGCTCCTGTAAAATCATTATAATTTTTTTCAAAATTATTGCTCATAAATACACAAAATTTTTCATCTAAAACTGTTGAAAAATTTGAGGACGTAATAGAAGCCCCCTCCGAAAATTTTGGATGGTGGACAGTTTAGAAGCCCCGGGGGGCTTCTAAACTGGGGAGGGGTTTAATCTAAATATCTTTATTTTCTTTTTATTCTTTTTTTAATAGGAGTAATTAAATATTGTTCAACCATTATTACTCATCTATTTCCTGAAGTTTTTCGAATCATGTTTTCATAATAAGGTTGATTAGCAGCTTTCATTGTTATTATGGTACTATTATTTATAAATCTTATCTTTCATCAAATAGTATCGATTTCTTAACGTCATCTATATCTATAGATTATTCTAGATTTTTAAAGTACAGTTATCATGTTGTCACGTGTAGTGTACAAATGAGAATAGTTTAATCTTTCGAAAAGTGAATAAAAAATAAGTGATGATATATTTTTAATTATTCTTTTTAAAAGAGTACTTCGTTTATCAAGTCCTGCACTGAATAATTCCAGTTCTGATGAAATTATGAGTATATTAGCAAATAATACCAATAAAGTCGAACTTGTACATAACTTTTTAAACTATGCATGGGTATGTTGTTAAGCGAATCTGAAATGAATGATCACATATTTTTTCTAAGAGCAACACTTTGCACTAAGTATTAACTAATGTAACATTTGCGTTTTTGGGTCAGTTCACTAAAAATCATACTAGTATTTTTTCTATTGTAACATTTTGCTAAATATATTACTTTTATTGCTATTTAATATATCCTAGTTCTCATATTGGTTCAGCTAAAAAAATAAATATGAAAGAAGTATTCGTCACATAAGAACGTAAATGTATCATTCTAATATCGCATAAATACGAAATAAATATCAATGTATTATTTAGACATCAAAACCATAAAAATTATTCAATATATAGGATGTTACTGTATTGTAATACGTGTAGATGTGTGTCATTCTTCAATTTTCTGAAAAACACTTAGAACAAAAACTAGATGAAAAAATTGTAAACGAAGTATTTGATTCTGTTTGTCATATTTATCCTTTGATGTCTTATCGAATAAAATGGTTAATACCAAGCTAGTGATGTGATTCATTTTAAAGAGATTCCTATTTAAGTTACTATGTTGGAGCATATAATATTTCACTTATGAAAAATTATTATTCAGAACTCGAGTGATGTAAAATTTAAAATTTTCTAAAATATAATAATTCATGTTTTCATCGTTCCTCTTCTACCATCAACTGGTTCTGCTTTCGATATAATGAAAATGTCCTTATGTTTGGCCCTATGATTCATAGTCAACATCGTGTGCAAGTAGAGTATGTTCTTGATTTTTCTTCCCTTTGCTCTGTTCTTTCGTAATTTCTTTTTCTAATGAGTCATACATTGAATAGTAGTATATAAGACGAATACAATATAAAATTTCTTGAAATTAAAATTGAGAGAATATATTTTACACACGTAAGCTATCTAATTTATTAGAAAGAATATATAAAGATAAATAAAAAAATGATCTCTATTAGTATTTACTATAAGATATTGGAGAATTTTCTCTGATTGATAATTTTAGTACTTAGAAAATAAAAGCCCATAAATTTGTTTTAGATTCATTTGAAGAAAAATGGATGACTATCATAATTCAAGATCGCTACCATCAGATGACTTGTGGTTAAAAGTAATAAATGAAGGTGTTGAAGATCGTGTAGAAGTTAATCAACGAATGTTAATTGATAAAATGTTGGCTCGTTATTCATCTGATTTTGTTGTTTATCGAGAATTAATTCAAAATTCTGATGATGCTCAAGCTACTTCATTTACTCTTGAAATTACATGTGATCCTTATACAGTAACACAAAATTATGAATCAATTAATAATGATTCTATATCAATGAATCAAGAACAATTAGACAAAAATGATCAAACTTCATCTGAGAATGATTTTAATAATTGCATAATAACTGAAATTCGTACAGTAAATAATGGTCATGTATTTAGTGAAGATGATTGGAAAAGAGTAATAACTATAGCTGAAGGAAATACTAACGTTGATGCTATTGGACAATTTGGTGTTGGTTTCTTTTCAGTTTTTTCTCATTCTGAACGACCAATGATTCAATCTGGAAAACATTGTTTAGCATTCGTCTGGCAAAATGGAAAATCCTTAACAACATTTCGAAAAGAATTACCATTTGAAGAACAATCATCATTAACTTCAATCATACTTTCTATGAAAAATAAATATATTCTACAAACAAAATCAATATTTGAAACAAACGAAATAATTAATGAAGATATTAAAAATAAGAAAGTACATGTTAACCGTAAAAGACGAACCAAATCAAAAAAAAATATCA